TATATATATATATATATATATATATATATATATATATATATATATATATAGTATTTATATATATAGTATATATTAATAGTTTAAAAACACAAAAACACAATGCGTGAATATAAAATTGTTGTTTTGGGCAGCGGCGGCGTTGGAAAATCCGCATTAACCGTACAATTTGTGCAATGCATTTTTGTTGAAAAATATGATCCCACAATTGAGGACAGCTATCGCAAGCAAGTTGAAGTAGATGGCCAGCAATGTATGCTAGAAATTTTAGATACCGCAGGCACGGAACAGTTTACAGCGATGCGAGATCTTTATATGAAGAATGGACAAGGCTTTGTACTCGTCTATTCTATAACGGCACAATCGACATTCAATGATCTACAGGATCTGCGAGAGCAAATTCTACGCGTGAAGGATACTGATGATGTACCGATGGTATTGGTTGGCAATAAATGCGATTTGGAGGAAGAACGTGTCGTGGGTAAGGATTTGGGCAAAAGTTTGGCCAATCAATTCAATTGCGCGTTTATGGAGACGTCAGCCAAAGCCAAAGTAAATGTGAATGATATTTTCTACGATTTGGTCCGGCAGATAAATAAGAAGTCTCCCGAAAAGAAACAAAAAAAACCGAAAAAGTCCCTATGTGTTCTGCTATAAGACTTCCAAAAAAAAAAAAAAAATAAATAAATAAAAATAACAAAAAATATGAAAGCAAAATGGGTAACGAGTAATAAGTAAATATTTAAACAACAAACAATTCCCACAAAAAATTTAGAAAGTCAAAATTGCAATAACCAATATATAAAAATTATAAGGAAAAGCGGATTAAACTGACAATGTTTTTAACTGTGCAAAGATTTTGTAATAATTACCACATTCTATTGTTATTATAACTATATACTATATTTTGCTGATTAACAAACAGTTATTATAATAAAAAAACATATGTAATTCTTTTTGAGACGATTTTCTTTTAAACAAACAATAAATTAAGGAACAAGCATTCGTAACTAAAAACACTTGTATTTATTTTTCTATTAATTTTAATCTTTATATCGATTTCTAACACAAATAAAGCTACAATAAATATACATGTATACAACAAAAACTTATCTATACACAAAATCGTTGCTCTTAACAAAAAAAAAAATTCAATTGAAAATCAAATTTAAGCTAAAATGTCTAAAATTAAATTCGATTGTATGCCTAACAAAAAAATCACATATTTTTTAAAAATATTGTATGCAAATGAGATGTCAAAATGTTGCAAACAAAACAGAAAATCCATTCTTAGTAATTAGTTTAAAACAAATTTACAAATGATCAATTGCTGTGTAAGTGAAATTTAATAAAATAAAAATATTAAAAACAAAAATTCAAACATTCATGGCAAACACTTATAAATATCCAATGATCAAAAAGCTATATATATATATATATATATATAGCGTTAATGTAAAACTTACATTTTTGATTGCAGTTTCAAGATAGGAAAAATTAAAATTCTGTTCTAATCACATGAACTATAATAAATGTTATATAAAATATAAATCCCAAGACGAACTAAATATATGAAAATAAAATAAAAAATGATACAAATAAATAATATGCCCTAACATCAAATTAAAATAAGATATACACACACACAAGAAAATCCAACGTGTATCCACAATAAATGTATTACGTTTATGACAAAAAAAAAAAAAAAAAAAAATATATATATATATATATATATATTAACAAAAATATTTAAAAGTAAAACAAAAATTAAATAAATTCATGTAAGAAATGTAAAATGCGTTTTTTATAATACATTCGAATCATTATTTTTGCTTTTGATTTCTCAAATATTTTTTGCTGTGTTTTATTCTTGGAATATGAATATAATATAGTTATAATACAAGTACAATTACAAATTACAATCAAATAGTTGTAAATGTTTGCATAACCATCCAAATATCTATGGATATATATTTATACTATAGTATAATATTAAACATATATATTATGTCTATTGTAATGGGGTTATACAGTGTAATATCATTAATTTGATATGGACATCAATTACCGCTGAAATTTATTTTTTATTTTATTTATTATTTGTATTATTTTTTTTTTAATACATCAATAGAAGCCGACTAGCAAGTATTTAATGATTATGTAATTACTTTTGTTATTAAAATTTTGAGATTTTTGGTATAGTATAGCACAAATGCATATTTTTCAACTGTACATAAATTTTATGTTTTTTATGACTAGTTTTTTTTTTTCGAATTTTTGCAAGGGCTCTAATTGTACATAAGTAATTGTCATATTTATATATTTTTTTAAAGTCTTTCAGCGCTGTTTGAACATTTTTTAATTAACACATTAAGAATCAGTCCAGCTATTATCAAGCTCTTGTTTAAAGAACTGTCAGCTAAAAAATACGAATAAAACTTAATTTATGCTAATTTGGCAACAACGAAAATTCGCAAATCAATAATAATATATAATAGTCGAAAAAATAATATTGCACTGGGGATTTGTTTTTCTGAGAATTGCACTTTAGGTTATTACACGAAATTTAAAACTAGAATCATATATATTAAATATACGTAACGACTGGAGCAAGATTTTAGATTTCGTTAGATTCTGGCATGAAGATTACTACGTAAAATGTATTTGGAGTGCGATTTAACGTATGCCTGTTGTAAAGATGATCTAGCGCTTATGGCCCAATGGAAATAATATACGATATAGCATATATATAAGATAACAATCAATGTAGTCCTAGAGATTTCTAATTTTTTATCTTTAGCTCTATTTGCGCAGCTGTAATTGACCCTGGGATTGGACCTGGCTTTGTTGCTGCTGATGTGACTGTTGCTGTTGTTGTTGAGATTGCTGCTGTTGTTGTTGATTATGATCCTCATCGTCGCTATGCTCCTCACGCAGCGGCAACGAATCGATTTGCTTGGCTGTTGTTACTTTTTTATTGCGCTGCCAAGTGAAGACACGCGCCATTTGTAGAAACTTCTTACGGGACATTTTGCCCATGTTCTTGAGTCGCTCCTGGAAGGGCGCATCATCTTCGCCCTTAGCCTTGCCGCTCTGCTCCTTCTCCAGTGCGCTCATAAAGTCCTGATTCCATCGCAGCTGGTTCATAAACTCCTCATTCTGTAGCATCAGGGCGAACTGTTCATCGGGCAACTCGAAATCTTGCTGACCGCCAGAGGGCGCCACGCGCAGAAATCCAGGTGGCAGAACACCTAATATAGGGGGACTCCAATTCCTGCTGTTGTTGGACAATCCAACGGTGTGACTGATGTTGCGCTTGGTGGTCGTATTAATGGTGTTGCTGCCACTTATCTTAGTTGAAGCTCCAATCGGACGTTGTTTGGGCGAAGCGCCCGTATTGTGATTCGGCGAAGCTGCTGTTGTGCTCAGTAATTGCGTATGTCCAGCATTCGGGGTAACGGCTGGAACTGTGTTTTCTGGACCGCTATCCATGGCATCGATAATTATTTGCTGCTGATGATTGCGTCGCACCTCTCTGTCCGTGTCGCTGAGATTGATGAGACTCTGTTGTGGTGAGATATTAGCATCCAGTTCATTGCGCAGTTTTTCGTTCTAATCACACATGCAGTTAGTGTTAATTAGTAGACTCTTAGTATACACAAGCAATCATACGCACACACGCACAAACTCTCTCACGCACGCACATAGGCATACATATGTACCTGGTTGTCAGTTGACATAGCGAGTAGTTGGTCAATCGTTTGATCCACTGCACCCAAATTAGCCCGCAGCACAGCTTCTATTACTTCACGGTCAATGTCCGGGAACATCTTTTTGAAGTCAGCCATGGCTTGTGAAAATTCCAGCTGCAGCGTTGATGTAGCCATGATGATTTTCTTATTTTTAATTGCCCCCTCCCCCTTTTATAGCTCCAGCTGAATAGCCGATAGTAGAGCTGTGTATACGATAACTACTCGTTACAGGTATTTTTCAATAAAAAGTAACGTTAGTTATATTAGCTAACAAATAAAATAGCTTTTAAATCTGTTCAAGGTTACTTGCATTTAAAAATATAAATGTTACAAATTGTAATTGTGTACAACAGTCATACACGTACCGCACTGTTATGTGTTTGTTATGTGATTGCTTAATCACAATCACAATATTATCATCGTTATGATTTATCGATTTCGATTCAAATACAACAGTGCTTAGTACTGTTGAATATATCGGCGCACTTAACGTTTAAATTCAATCAATCAGCACCCATCTTTGCACAATTTAGGTAGGTATTATTATATGACTTAATGGTGTGACTCATTTTAATTACTCCAATAGTTGTCAGCAGAGAACGATGATCATCAGTCTCGTGATTTTGATATTGCTGATGTTGATTGAACCGGTATTAAGCAGCACGTGTGCTCCATTGTAGTTCCGGCGTGGACATATCAATATCTAAGTCACCTTGCGATTATTCTTTTTTTAATAACTGTCAATTAGGCTGATATGATGTGGTATATAATACTTGATTTGAATGTTATATGTGCAGCTTGTATTCTAAAAAAAATCTGCTTATCTTGTCTAATCTTAATTTATGAAGCTGATGTAACAATAAAAATTAATTTTTATGGCATGCGTAGGTGGTATTATCAACATATGATAGGTGCAAAGTTCAACATGTGTGACACATGTTAGGCGCCTCTGATTAAAAAATAAAATGCAGAATTAAGCGACAAATTAATGCTGTGTCAGCTCAAATTATTTTTAATTAGTTAATAAACCAAGCTAAAGACCGATGTCTGGAGAAGATAAGAGAGATTGACCAGATTATTAAATCAATGTTCACCTAAAATTCATATATTTGATCTTTTGTAATATTTTAAAGATATTTCATCATAATTTGCAGCATGTTTGTATTATTAGAAAAAGTAACTAACTATAGTCTTTTATCATCTGAATACTTTTTTCGTTTGTAAATTTCTACTATTTCTAGAGCAACAGAAGAAGTTGTTCGACATATTTTATGTCTTCAGTTTGAAATAGTTTTCAGATACTTAAAAGTTCCGTCGCATATGCATATATAATATGACACTGGCACTTAATCAGTTTTCATTAATTTGTATTTGTGTACATTAACTGAACTTCAACAAAGAAATTCATTTATCAATTTTATTTCATTATTTATTTTTATTATAATTTAGGGGACAATCGAAGTATTAGTCATTAACTACTTGAAAGTGTCTTGGATTCGTATATGTTAACGAACCTTAAGGGGAATATTTTTGAAGAACGCTTGGAAGCAAAAATATATTGTTCATTTAAAAATATAAGTTTACAGTTAAAATTAAAATTTAAGATGTTAGCTTAATACAAAAATGAAAATAAAAAATGAAATGTATATACATCATAAATGTATTCATATTATTCATATATATTGGAACTTTTAATTAAAATTTCCGACGTCAAAGTGCTGTTAACACTGATCAAGCTTGTGTTTCAATATGTTGTATTCAATTAATAAATTTGATTACATAAATCAAGCTTTGTATTTATATTTAGATTTTCCAAATATTTATATAAACTAATATGCATCATGTCTGTAGCTCACATTGTTTTAATTTTTGTCAGCTAAGCTATAAATCTCTGAATTATCGGACGATTTGTCAAAAGCGTGGCATGGCATACAGTCAAGCATGGAGGTTCGAAACAGAAATCGGGACCGGAAAGTTTAAGAAATCGGCCACCAGTGATCAGCGTGTAGAAGATGAGCGACTTGCATGGCTGATTTTAGTTTGCAAACAACCAAGAAAGCAATAAGTACTACTAATTCATTCTCATTCATTCATGCTCTGCTCAGTTGCTAAAATTGCAGCTGAGCAACCATTTCAACCGACCACCCACTTGGGCATTAGAAACACTGGAATTTACCGCCCACTGCTTTGGTGTTCTGAAGTGCCGAAGTAGTCGGAATTCGCGTCGTTTCCACTCGTAACTGTATACCTCGAACATATTAGTGTCTGCGTGTGTGTACCATACCTGTTGATTTATCCTTTTTTGTGTCTGCAACACTGGCTGTGCCTATATAAGCACGTGCGTGCTACGGATTTGCGTTTATTGTGCACTGTCGCACCCAACGCTTAACATTTACGTAAAAAGTGAAAAAACTTTTAATTAAAAAATCAAAAGTTCCATTCCTGTAATTGTGCTGGTCAATTCTAAAACAGGACGATAATTAATTAAATATATTTGAAAATTTCAAGGTAAAATTGAGTAAATGTAATGTAATTTTTATTTGACACATATTGTTTTATTCAAATTACTTCGAAAATTTATATACGTTAGATTGTAAAACTAAAACTAACAAATTATCTAGAAATATATTCATATGCATACCATTCATAGTGATAGATAAAATCTAACGATCACCATATTTGGTCTTAAAAAAGATATTTATTGATTTGCAAAAATTAATATCCATACTAATGATAATTATATTATTGCCACACAATATTAAGAATCCAACTAAGCTCTTCCATAATTGAGCAATATTTCATTCATAGTGACAGATCAAATCAAATGATCAAAATATTTGGCCTTACGAATCTGCAAATCTATTTATTTCCAATGAAATATATGTGTCCATGTATATCCATACTAATGATCATAATATTAATAGAATCCTTCTAAGCTCTTCATTAATTGAGCAAGATTTGAGTCGTTCGCTTCCACACAATAATATATTTACCGCAATGGAAGCGATATGGATATGATACTCAAACCATAAACCTAACCAAAAAAAAAGGCTAAACGTAATGATAATGAGTACATTGGACCACTCTCTCTCTCTCTCTCTCTGTCTCTATCTATCTCTATGACTATCGCCCTTTCTCTCTCTCTCTCTCTGGCACACACTCGCATAGATCGTCATTTGAATCTTGGGTAATTTCATAACATTTTATATTGCCTATTGATAATGCTTTGTGATTAATATTTTGTTTTATTTATAAGCACACAATTTACATTTCTAGAGCTCAATTTATGTTGTAATTCACTTATTTTGATTACTATTAATATTGAATGAAATCTAAAGCGAATTGTAGATCTATAATATTATCAGATAGAAATTCCTCATTGAACGTGATACGGATCAGTCTGAAAAAATTGAGGGCAAATATTATGCGTTGCGGTGCTTTCCTTTTTTACTAGCGATAACTTCTTAGCGTAAGGTTAGTTGTACTGATTATCCCATCGCAAATACAGTTGATATTATTAAAGAGGGAGTGTCTTTAAAAATAAAGCTTTTGGCTTGATAAGCATAGAATTGCTAATGACGTATTAAATTGTCAGTAAAATAGGAAGCTTCAAAAAGTTTGCTCCATTTGGCTTACATGCCTTATCTACTCATGTCTGGCAACGGTAAAACAGATACAAATTCTGTAATAATTAACGCAAACGGTGTCAGCTGTCAAATAAATCGGACGGCATAATGCTACTCCTCCTCAACTCACACCTCCCTCATCAAATCAATAGTTGACAGTAATGCGCTAAACGCTTATCCGATGTTAGATGAGATAATTAGTGGGCAAACCAACTGTGAGAGTTCAACGGTATTTATAAGCGCTTAACCTTGACTTCGATTTATGGTTTTAAAAATGCTGAAATGAAACTCAAAATGCTTGACAATCTTTATGTGTACATAGAATATGAACGAATCTATTTACGTACATATATAAAAATATTTGATAGGCGCTAAAAATTAGCCTCGACATTGACGTATTATCAGCATATTATCTGTGGTCATTAAGACCACGACTGCGATTCATACTTTACGTTTCTCAAATCGCATTAGAGCATTACTCATGGAGTGCGTAAGGCACTGTTGATCCCGGCGCATGTTTGTATATATTTATGTGAAGCTGCGTTGCGCATATACATACATATATACATATAAATGTACATACATAAATTTTCATGAAAACAGAAAATGTTTTCGTGATTTTGAGAAACCTAGAAACATGCGAGTAACTATTTAAAGGTCAGTTATGATGTCTCCTTTTAATTTAGATGTCACCTATGATAATTTGAAGAAATGTCAAGTCATATTAGAAATGTTAGGAGCTAGGAAACTAATTTAAATTCGTTTTAAAAATTTAAAGAAAAGTTAGGCATTCGTCCAGTTGACCCTGTTCATGCGCATTTTGACTCACAGTTGAGCATAATTAGCCATTAACATTTCATCAACAGTAATTAGGGCATTCGCTGACCGCGTCACGGTTTTGCGTAGCTTGCCATGTGATATGCTATTGGGGTTGTGGGTGGTGTCATGCTGGTTTAATTAGGCTTCAAAGTACTTTTTATATATTTTTAGCCGATTCGCAAAACGTAACGAAAGTTTGTCAACGTGACTTGTTCTGTTTGAAATACCCAACACCTTGAGATGAAACCTGTGAAATGCGAAGAAGAACAAGCTACTAGAAATTTTTCTTAAAAGCACAAAACAAGTATTATGCATATTTTAACATCGCCAACTTTGTTTGTTTCAGTGGAAGTTGTAATATAAAACCTTTTACGTAAGCGGCTGGCCTCTTGTAGGTGTTGCGGTAGGAGCTCGACTCGTTTTCAATTGTCAGCTAGTTGAAAACAAACTCATACACCTGCCTATGCACACATATTTTTCCTCTTGTTAAGACCTCTCCCATTCGATTTCTCTCAACTTTAGTTGGGTCTGGAGCAGCAACAATAACCTGAGCAATAACGTGATGACAACGTACGGCTGCTCTATCGCCCATCATTTGGCTATTGTCATTGTTCTGCTGTCAATTCTGTCGCACTTGTCGCCTGGACGCGCACAGCAAAGCCCAGCTATAGACGAGCAACAGCAACCTGCAATGCAAATGCTCTTCAATGAGTTCCTCGACTCCGGACCGGCTGATGGCAAAACCAACTATTATGGTCAGCAGTTAGTAAGTATGCGATACTTGCAGAAATAATTGAAAAGAAAAATAAAATAAAATAATAATAATAATTTAAAGTGTGCATATGAGAAATTGCAATCAATTGTGACTAAGTATGAGGGGTTTCCAATTTTTTATATATTACAGACGATAATGAAGTTTTACTAATTTACAGAAACTGATAATAGTCTTTGGAAAATTGCAATATGATTTTAAAAAATCAGTATTTCTTTATATTTTAAATATTAAATACTTACCTTAAGTAAATAATTACCAATAAAAAAAAAGCTTAAAGGCTAAAGAGTTTATTATTCATTTAGGTCAAATTCTTTCTCTTCCAGAAGTACCAACAGCTGAAGCATCAGCTGCGACAGCAGCATTTGCGACCAAAACAATTGCCAATCCTTTTTTTTACTAACCAATGGCCCTTTCTGCGCGATCTCGCCATAAACTCCGATTACGATACATTGGGCCACCGCGAGAGCTCTGAGCGAGAGCGTGATCCGCAGGAATCTCAGCTTCTGACACGCCTACACAGACTGGCCGACAATGCTTTTGATGGCGATGATCAGCTATTCAAACTCAGCTCCGGTGCTAAACAGCACAATAGCAAGAGAAATGCGCAGTGTGAGTAGAAGCTATATTTTTAAGAGATTTTGTTTGAATTTAAACAAAAATAAGCAAGAAGCGTAGGTAGATGCTTAAACTCTCAATAAACCAAGTTCTAGTATATAGAGTTGATTGGACATTTCGTTGCGAATTGTATAAAAATACGGGTCTAGAATCTTATAAGCTAACCAACTGGAACATAAGCTATTAGTATATCTTAAGACGAGAACTAATTTAAAACCGGTAATAGATCATATTTCTATTAAGAATTAAAATATCGTTAAGTTTTAATAATCAGTAAATGCAATATGAAAAGTTAATAGCAATAGGTGCATGACCAATCTGTTAATTTAAAATTTATTCTATATTGTATATCTGATACTCACATTTCCCAAATTTGCAAATACATAGTTCGTAAACAATGTAAGTGTTGCATGAAACTTAAGAAATGTCTTTTTTGATATTTACTGATACATATTTTGTTCTTATAGATATGAGGCCATGTCATTTCAAGATCTGCAATATGGGACGCTAGCGCAATACCGCCTCTACATTACTCATCTGAACCGATGCACTGAAACATCTTAAAGTTAAAAGCAGTTAATGCCGGCAAAATGCTAATATTGCAGAAAAAAAAAAATCAAAAACAAACAAAATATAGAATTTATATTATATACGCAAAAGTATTTAATGTTAGCTTTACTTATCATATATCTAAATACATTTACATAATATTATTCATTGTCCCACTAGTATTTCCATCTTTAATTGCATTCTAACAAGCATAATTCATTAAATACTTAGTGTTAATTTTGCAGCGTATTTATTGACATATATACATGTGTATTAATAAAGAAATGATAAAGAACTATATTTAGAATAATTTGTTTTAATGTTTCGTTTATCTAGACAGAAATAGATGTATGTATATTCTATGATCAGGACGATCAGTCGACTATTGCTATTGAGCAATACACTAGCAAAATATCAATGTACTATTAAATAATGCAAATACTAATTTTAAAGTTTGAATGGTTCAATTCACACAATAAAATACATAAAAGCTTAACTTAGTACAGTAGTATGCTAAACAGTAAGCTACTCAACTTAATCTGAGCAATTAATAGTACAGTAGTAATGGGAATGTGTTTTTGCTTGAATATATATTTATGCTTTGTTTGACGTTTTACCATAATGGTGAAGGATTTTTCTTTCTGTTTGTATGTTACATACCGCATTAAGTTACTTCAATTGGTCGATATTAGTCAAAGCTTGCTCAATATGAATAGTTAAAAAAGTCACTAGTTCAACAATAAAGAGCTATGCAGCATTGCGTTACATATATAAGAAAGACCAGACCAACACAAAATTTAATAATATTGAAATGCTTAAATTGAGAGTCTAAAACTACAGAGTATGAAGAATTCAAAAATTTATAAAGATATAACTAATAATAATTGGTGTAGTTCATTTGTCTTTTAGTTCTTATTACAGAAACATCTATAAGATGGCGGAAAGAAATACCGCCAATTGGACTTAAGCAGAAAAGTCGAAACGTTGTCCGGTTATTTTCTCCATACTTTGACATGTATGTATGCCAAGTATAACTTTTAATTGTATAACAAATAGTTTATTTAAATTTTAATCAGCTCTTATTTTATTTCAGCATTTTGAAACATAAACATAACATCTAATGGGTAAGTGATTAAAAATTTCGACTCATAAGCTAAAATTATGTTTTTATTGCATATTCCCGAGGGCAGTGGGAGTAGCTACAGAAATGTGATATAAAACTGTTGCATACTTTTGTGATGAGATGTCGAAAAGTGCATTTCGATTGCATACTCTAGAGGGCAGCATTGTAAATTTAAAGAAATCTTGCCTTCGCGAT